CTCTGTGATAACAGTTTATTTTATGGAAACTATAGTAGATAGACAAGAACTTTTATAGAAGAAAAGACCAGCAGGACAAGATCTACTATTAGTCTAAATGGGATAAATTTTTAGTTGACTTTTATAGGAGTAATTGCCTTTGAAAGACAATATTAACCTGTTTATGTGATTTTTAGCAAAATCTAAGAGAAACTGTTAACTGCAGAAATGATGGGCAGGACAATATTTACAAATATGTTTTCATAGCAGGTGTGGTTAGATGACTCCTTATGGGAGTTATTGCCCTTGAAAGACACTTTGTACCCATTTTTGTGTTTTTTAATGAAAACTTTAGATGATTGACAGAATCTGTACATTGCTAAAATAACCAGCAGTACTAGATCTACTAATAAGTCAACATTACCCAAACTGTCAGTTGACTTCTTATAGTGTTGCCATTCATTTTTTTTTTTTTTTTTTGCATAGATGGAGAGAAACTGTAAATAACAAAAATTAACAGCATGACTGTAGATCTTCAAATCAAGCAACATGCCTGAAATTATCGGTCCATTCCTTATAGGAGTTATTGCCCTTGATGGATGATATAACATTTTTAATGAGCATTTTTGCTTTTTGCATTGTATCAAGTATAGTGAAAATTGACAATTAAGTGATACAAATTCTTCAGCCACTAGTTCTAAGTCCAATGGTCATTCCAATTCTATAAAGAGTCTATGTACCAAACAGTACCAGCACACCAAAAACAACAGGAACAATCAACATGTCATAAGGGCAGTACATTTGTACTCAAAGTTTTCTACTTTGCTTTTCTTTACATTTACCTTAAACAACAATTAACCTCTTTGATAATGTTGTTGACTGGTTTTTCTTTTGAAACATTTGGGTGTATGTTAATGCCTTAATCATGTTAATATTAATAATACTTTTCAATTTAATATGTTATTCTTACAGTTTAAATACATACATGTAACCCAGCATTTTGATCTTAGTAAGTAATAATTAATCATAAACCTGTAATCTGGGGTCGGTACACTATAGTGAATAGAATGTTCTCAGAGAGATTTTATCAAATTATGTATGTTTCTAAAAATAAAAGGTAGCACTCTATTAAAGAGGAATATATAGTGTTTTTTCATGATCATATTATTAGACTCACTGTGACAAAAATGATCTATCTTTATAACTTATATACATGTTCACACAATATCAATATATTTCAGTACAGCTATTTGATGTATACCACCTACATTCATGCCATTTACTTTGATATATATTGTATTTGATAGATATATATATATTTTTTTTTTTTATTGAGCGTGTTTAAATGATGAACTAATTATAGCAATATAATTCATCTATTAGTTCAAAATAAGAAAAGTAATTCAAAGTCAACTTAATTTGGAGCAATGAAGAACCTTAGTGGTACGTACATAGGGTGCAATATCAAAATTAGACTTGTCATTTTAACATTATTGAAATCTTCTTGTATTTTCAATATATTGTTGTACACTTGTAAATATTTACGTATTTTCATCTATATTGAGATCTGGGTTGCCATAGAGCAGGACATCAAGATAAATATTTGGGAACTTTCAAATAATTTCAAAAAGTTCATATCTGTGTCTAGTACAGAGTGGACAAACATAAAAAAAATTAAAGATATCTTCGGTAGGGTCTCCACAAGCACACCTTGAGCTATCAGACAAGTGGTCAGTAGCAAGATGCCAATTCAAGGCACTTGCTTCATTCCTAAGCTAACAATGTATAATATAGTATTTTCGTTTACCAATGTCAAAATATGGTGGACAGTGGATGATATCCTCGTTCAACACACTCTCAAATTTGGCAAAGCTAGCAATGCATTTAGTATCATTGTCAAGAGAATTCCATTTATCCAAGATATTTGGAATATAACATGAAGTGCGACATAGGGGGATTGTAAATTCTCTCCGATGTCGTAAATTGTATTGTGTACAATTGTTTGTAAATGATGTGATCTCTGCAGCTATATATTCTGGGATCTCTCCAGATGAAAATATAGTAATTTATTTTTTTGTCGTCTACCCTGGAGGGAATCCCATCCAAGTTCTTTATATAATATTTTTCTTGAGGTTTTTCTGAGACCAGTAATTATTCGAGCAGCATCTTTGTTGAACTGACTCAATAAGCTCAGATTCTTCCTGGTTACAGTTATCCCAAATAATGTTCCCATACTCCAAAATGGGTCTATTAAAGTCCACTTGGCATTAGATGAAAAAGTAAGGCCCAAGTGTTCATGTTTAGACATATTTTCTAAGGAAATGTTATTCATATGCAGTGATGTGACATCAGAATTATTTTTTCTGGTAAAATATAAAGATTTGGTCTTGTCTGAAGACCAGTTGTGCAAAGATTCCAGAATTCATCATTTAGGAACTCAGTTGTAGAAAGCTCATCATCAACAATACAGTACAGGCAAGTGTCATCAGCAAAAAGTTTGATCTTGTTTGTCACAACATCAATTATGTCATTGACAAACAAAAGAAATAAACTAGAGGCTCTAAAGAGCCTGTGTCGCTCACCTTGGTCTATGTGCATATTCAACAAGGGACACTTTCCAACATTGTAGACGAGAACAGAATTCATGACAAAAATCTGTTTATAGTGTCCTTTTTTCTTCTTTAGTTTTTGCTCAAAACACAAAAGAGAGTAAAAAAAAATCCTAATTTAAGGGCAATCACTCCTACAAAGAGTGACAGTCTACTAACTATATCGGCAAAATTTGACTTGTTAGAAGAACTTGCTTTGTTGATCATTTTTGCGATTTAAGTGTCTATTTATCTATTATAATTTTAAACATATAAGGCAAAACGCAAAAAAAAAAATGGTAAAAATTGTCATCAAAGGGCAATAATTCCAATAAAGAGTCATTGAACAATTTCCTCCAAATTGTCCTAATCATAGATCTTGTCTTGCTGATCATTTTTGCTTACTTAAATTTCTATCTATCTATTATAATTTTTAAGATATAAGGCAAAAACTCAAAAATATTGATAAATATCATCATCAAAGGGCTATAACTCTAATGAGAAGTCGACTGACGATTTTGACCATGCAGACTTATTTGTAGAACTTGTCATGCTGATCATTTTTGCAGTTTAAAGTTTCTCTCTATTTATTATAGTTTTCAAAATAATAGGCAAAAATGAAAAAAAAATGGTAAAATTTTTCATTTAAGGGAAATAATTCCTATAAGAAGTCGTCTGAAAGTTTTGACGTATGTGGACAATTTGTAGAGCTCATCATTCTGAACATTTGTGCCCATGTCAGATTTTCTCTATTTATAATCGTTTCCAAAATAATAGACAAAACTTGCATTTTACAACCCCATGTTCTATTTTTAGCCATGTCAGCCATCTTGGTTGGCAGGTGGGGTCATCAGACACATTTTTTAAACTAGATACCCCAATGATGATTGTGGCCAAGTTTGGTTAAATTTTGGCCAGTAGTTTCAGAGGAAAAGATTTTTGTAAAAGTTAACAACGGATGACAGACGTTAAGTGATGAGAAAAGTTCATTTGGCCTTTTAGGCCAGGTGAGCTTAAAAGGACCTAAAATTAATCCTTGTGGAACACCAGCATTAATTGTCTTCCAGTTCAAAAAGTAGCCATTTATGCCAACCCTTTGCTGTCTATTAGATTCTAAGTTTAGGGATTTGGCTTTCTTATGAGCACGGTTACGTTTACGTATTTTTCTTTTTATATCAGTTGAGATCCAGGGCTTGTCCCTGGGTCTAACTAATACAACTTTCTTTGGAATATATTTATCCATGACATGGTAAACTTCACTGTTCAATATATAATTAAGCTCATTTGTGTCATTATAGTTTTGAAAGTTACTATTCCAATCAATATCTTGTAGGTGTCTCATGGCTGAAGCATAGTCTCCCCTGTCAAAGTCATAGACTGTCTTTGAATAAGCCTTATAACATGCTGTAGAAAAGTTTCTTTCTATGAGCATTGGACAGTGGTCACTACAGAAATTTGGCAGCACTGTAGAGTTCCTCAATATAGAATGATTATTAATGAAAACTGGATCCATAAAAGTTGATGTTAAGAATGTGGTTTGGGTATTAGTCTTATTTATAAAGCCAATATAACAGTTAAAGATATGAACTTCAACTTCAAATTAAAAAAATGCATGCAAGATATTATTGTGACCATAGGGTATTTTCAAAATATAAGTTGATTTATTTTAAGTTGCAATTAGAAAAAGTCAGTTAAAGAAAAGACATTGTTCTGCAAACTTAGTGAACTTCTGACATAGACACATTTAGCTCATTTTATCTAATGAAAACATTTCTTATCTTTCTGAAGAATGGCATAAATGCAAATATATGCAATAGTGCTATATCATACTTTTTGTGGTGATTTTAATCACTCTGAATACACAGTACATGTAACTATAGTTATTGTTTTCTGCCTTCTTAGCAGATTGAGCAGATATTGGGTTCAAACTTGTATAATGTACATATCACCTTTTTATTCACCAATATAACTGCCATAATGGTGTTCAGTCCTTCTGAAATCAAACAGGGTTCAGGACTTTTTAAGTATGCCTGTAGATATTGATCGTAATTTTGGCTAATTAATGTAAAATGATGATTTGTTGATCAAGTTTGAGTTTTATTGGGGTTGAATAACTTTACCCTGAATTACTAACTTTACAACCTTTGAAATTTTCAAGAAAATTGTACTTGTTAGTACATTTTGTACTTGCTAACATTATGCCTGCAGATATTGATCATACTTTGGTACACTATCTATATAGGGCAGTTCCAAAATTTATCCCATGGGGGACATGGGAGGCACTCAAATTAATTAAATATGGGTGGTTGCATTTTTCTAAGAATTACACGTATAAATAAAAATTATGTTATGGATAGTCAGGGTCTTCCATGTCCCAAATGCATTATATAGTAAAAATATAGTCTAAAAATAAATCTTTTTTTTTAATTTTAGTTGGTGAAGCTAGATACTGATGATTTAGCAAAGAAACTACATGAAGTTATAAAGGAGATGCAGCAGCATTTTAGTTACAAACCTGGAGCTTATTACAGTCATTCCTTATTCTTTCTCTCTATTGCAATACACAGGGTGATGCCAGAAACATTACACAGAGTCATAATGATGGATGCTGATTTGAAATTCAATAACGATGTCAAGGAGCTTTTTGAATTATTTGATAACTTTTCTGACACAAATGTCATGGGTATAGCCAGGGAGAATCAACCTGTGTATAGACATGTGTTGTCTGTATATCGTAGTGCTAATCCAGGTACAAGAGTTGGTGATCCACCACCAAATGGAATCACAGGATTTAATAGTGGTGTTCTACTTCTAAACTTAGACAAAATGAGAAAATCTGAGTTATATAATTCCTTAATTAATCCGCAGGTTGTAAAAGATTTAACAAAAAAATATTCATTCCAAGGTCATTTAGGTGATCAAGACTTTTTCACTTTGTTATCATTAGAACATGAAAATTTATTCTATGTTTTGCCTTGTACATGGAACCGTCAGCTTTGTGTTTGGTGGAGGGATAAAGGTTACGAGTCTGTTTTTGACCTTTATTTTAAATGTGAAGGTCATATTAATATTTACCATGGAAATGGTAACACAGATATTCCAAAATTAGATTGGGAAAAATAGATTTTATATTTGCTTTGTTCGTTTTAGTAGTTTATGATTTTTTATGTACCAATGTATTTAAAGGAGATAACATCAGATGAATATGAAATAAGAAAAATTAGATAAGAGTCATGCATATATAAGACATTCTAATCTTTTGGAAGGCCGCAATTATATTCAATTCATTTAATTGCTTATACATGTTAAAGCAAATGATATAAAATTGCATGACAAAACATATTGAAATGGATAAAATAATATTTTTAAATGTAAAAAATGTTATGATAACATTACTTTTACTAATTATAAGTAGCTTTAATATTAAATAAGTAGCTTTAATATTTGATAAGGGAGATAATTTGAATAGTACTTAATTTCTGATATTTTAATTCTGTAACAGTAGAGGTAATGTTACACATTGCTTATACATGACTTACATGCAGTGCTTTAACTTTAGCAAAGAAAATGAATTGATCAATGTTCAAGTTTATGTATTCGTTGTAATTTGTTAACATATAAGATGGTATAACCATTGCTAGTTTTTATATAATTTGGTTGTTGTTAATAATTTTTTACTTTGAATTTCTTTTCAAGTTATTTTTTACATTGTGATACAGAGGTTGTAATAAATAAATATGTATATATGAATATATATATATTTTTTTCAATTTGAATTAAGTTACTTACAATTTTTATAATGATGATTTAATTTTTTGTTTAGGATTTTAGAATATTTTTTCTAATAATATATACTGTCTCATGTGCCATGTGCTGTTTACATCATGTATTAAGCATTTAATGATTTTTTTTTTTCAATTTTTTTTTTTTCGACTATGAGGGTCACTTTCATTATCATGATTATGCAGACATAAAATATCCATATCCTTTCTTTTCTATTGTGGTCATTGGGATTAAATTAAATATCTATAGATGTGATGCAGTTGTAATATGAATACATTTTAAGGAAAAAAAAATATTTAGAAGAACAAAAACCAAATCACACCAGTTTGAAGATGAGATGTCTTAGATAATTTAGACACCTTTCAGTCCCACCGTGACTGATTCTGGTAAATAGCCATACATGTATATTCCCATGTCATGTGACGTGTCAGTTTTCTATGTGCTTTATAACTTATTACATTTAATATCTTTATATATACATGTTTATGCATATTAACCTTAAAGGGGAAAAGACATTTGGAGATGTTTTGAGAATTTTTTTTATTAATTTATTTTTTATTAGCAAAAGTTGTGGATCAATTTGAGGTTGTATACTAAATCTGGTTGGTAACATTTATATTTGTTAAGTCACCAATAAAAGTCTTTTACTAATTTGTATTATTTTTTCCAGAAAAACATCTGTGCTTTATCTAAAAAGCATTTTTTGACTGTTTTTTCATCCACAGGGCTAGCATTAAATGTTTATTATTTCATTTTGCTACTTTATTGGATTTAATTACCCTATATATCATGTATATTATGCTATATCTGTATTAAGAAGATGAAAATCTATGATATACTTGTTCAGAACCTTTGTTTTTTATTTCTTGCAAGACTATAAAATTTGGAGAGACTTATTGAAAAACCTATACCTTTATAGTACATGTAGTATTCATAAAATGCATTTTTGTTATAAATGAGGGTATGGATGGGGTTAATACTTTAGTCTTAATAGAATAAAAAATAATGGGACAAAAAAAAATATGAAGTGTCAAATGGGCCAAAAAATTATAGAAAAGACAATAATGGGGTACTAAAGTCTAAAGAATACATAATAATGTGATGCTGAAATATAAAAAATAGAGAATAAGGATAATTATGCGCCAAAAAAATCATAAAAAGATAAAAAATGCCCTGAAAAAAAAAGAATACAGATATGAAGACACTTTCATCCAGACCCTCACAAATGCACTGTTCTTTGTTTCTACAGATTTGTTACGTAAATATTGTTATATTTGATTTTTATGTTACATTTTGCATTTAAGGGTAATATTTCTGTCTTGTTTTTAAGAGACCAAGACATTGGTATGCTCTTCTGATGGTCTATATGGCATAACATAGTTTTATATTATTTTACTTTTTAAGGGGCAATTTACCTAGAATGTGGAATGCAAGGACCAATAGTTTAGGGGCTGTTTATAGTTCACTAGGGACCAACATCCGTCTGACCTCATTTATGTTTATCCGAATCAATCAGTTCTCAGCATTAGTAAAATGTCAAATAAAAAAATGATGGTATAAAAAAACCAAATACTGAGTACAATAATAATCAAGTTTCATTGGTAGCTTAGAAAGATCTAATAATAATCAAAACATAAAACATTTTCTCAAAAAGGCAGAGCGACCTAATTATTTGGTCAAATTGAATAATGCAAGCAAGGCACTTAAGCATGTTCATCCTTGTTTATTTGCTACTCAGTTATCTTTATAAAATAATGTGTGGTATATTCATAGAAATATTTTTAATCACAGTACATGTACAAGGAATTTTCACTGGCTTTGGTTATGGACCACCCTTTTCTTCTTTTTTTTGTTTCTCATTTTTTTTAGTAAATAATTATCCTCCTACTTTTTAACCTATAATTACTTATTTTATGTGATTGGTCTTATCCATATGATATTACAATGTCAGAAGTACAATATGCTGCCCTCTATTCATATCCCCCTCCCCCCCCCCCCCCCCCCCCCAAAAAAAAAGGGGATTCAATGTATCCATTTATATATGAATTCTGAATTGCAGAAATTTAGTTTACATTGAATTTGAAGTAATTGCTTTTTCTAAGCAAATTTCCCTTCATGTTAAATTGTAATAAAACTTGATAGCCTACTTAGTTGCACTGCCACTCTTGAATTTCCTTTAAGGTCTCAGTATTATGTAAGTTTATGCCCAGTATTGAAATCCTGGAGGCAAGATGTATACAGTGCTCTGTTATTGGAAATCCAAATAATGAAATAAAAATTTTGAAAAAAATCTATTGTTATTTTTACTCTATTACAATTCTGTTTTGTTGTTCAGTCAGCATCCTCATCATAGTAAGTTATATATATAGCAGGAACTGCAAGTAATATAAATATAGCACACCTTATATGATTTAACTCAATGACTCTGATCAAGGGTTAAATGCTGACGATGAAACTATACTGTGCTTTTCATGAATGAAATAGGGATGTCCATCAAATAGAGGCCTGATTAGTATCTCTCATTTGCATAAAATTAACACATATAGTAGATGTACATATGATTTGTATTTCACATATGAATTGTTGCCTTGAGTCAGATTTATATAGAGGTTTACAGACCAAAAGCAATTTATGTGTTTTTGAATAGTGTTCCCTCCAAGAAAATTCTTGAGGGGATAGATGCAAAATTTTATTCAATGTTTATCTGCCTTTGAACCCAGAAGAAGACATGTAGGTTCATAGGAGTTAAAAGGCATTGTGATAAAAGGAATCTTTTTTTAAACCAATTGTGTGAAGATATATTCTTCCATTCCCAACAAGTAAACGATCAGTTGATTTATTGGTTGTTTAAGGTCCAGTAGCAAATATTTCAAGCATGATCTTGTTACTGAAAAGGATCTTTGTAAAATAGAGGAAATGACTGAACATCCAGTGACATATATTTTGATAATATTAATTCTGTTACAGTAATGACAAAACAGGTATTCAACATAGATACCAGTTTCTGCTTTTTATACATTTTGCAGGGTGGCTGGAAAAGTGAGAAAAACAAGAACGTCTCCCTTCAGCATTATATTTTATGTACAGCGCACTGACATATTAATCTGTTTTTAGGTTTCGATTTTTTCTACAAATTTGAAATTATTTGATGAAGATATTTATCAACATCGTCTCTTCGGTTATACAATGTTATTTCTTTTTCATTTTCTTCAACAGTCTCAAGTCTAGCGAATCCTGTTTTAAATAAGGGTTAAGAGATTGACTAGTGTTAGGGAGGGTTTCTTATTGTCGAGTTGCAAGTTGCGAGTTGAAAAGGCCGAGTTGCGAGTTACAAAATTACCATTCATGTTACAATCATAAAAATAGTTTAAACCTACGAAAATGTATGGATAGTGCCAGACTTATTATATACCATTTCGCCAAAAAGTCTGCTCATTTCATGATATTAAGTTGCATGAGTCATCTAACCTTGCCATTCTCACGTGCACGAAGAGTTAAAACTGTGATTCTGTTTGTAATTTTAACTGTCTTTGGAATTTGGCAAATATCCATCATTGTTTACTGTTTGTTATATATATCCAGCTTTGAATTTTCCATCATTTCGAAGTTCAAATTTGAAATGACTGCCTTGGTGGTCTTGTGGTAAGGTGCTCACCATGAATTTGGAAGGTCAGTAGTCTGATTCCTGATTTGGTCAAATCCACGTTTTTTAAAAGCATTTGATTCTTCTCTGTCAGGAATTGACACCAATTACTGGTTGGTTTGAAAACAGGCTTCTGTCACGGTACGATGATTATAATCATTACAACTGATCTCGTAAGCTAACACTTTGAAAGTCTGAGAACAAAGCACGATATATCTTCAGCATGCATGGCATGTTTGTTGCTGGAAGCATCCATTAATTCATTAATTAATGATATAAAAATGGTCTTTTTTCATCTTCGGTATCAACATCTTTAGACCCCGATTATTCTTCTTTTTTATCGGGGTGGGGGAGAGGGGTTTTCTTTTAACAAATATTTTGATTCAATATTTCTTGAGAAGAAAAAAAATGGTTTCAGATTAGAATTGTAAAAAATAAATACTTTGTTTCAGTTGAAAATTAGAGAAAATAAGATAATTGAGCCATTCAGTCTTTGATTTTTGTTTGTTTTAAAAAAAAATAGTTTTTGTTTTGTCTAGTTTGCGACAAAAATGCCGGGGATGCTAACCCGGCGGCGGCAGTGACTACGGCGTGATTTATTGGTATAAAGCTTTATATTCCAGAGGGTAGAAGATGTGGATGCTTCATACCTTGTATACAAAGTACGCCTTATACAACCAAGTTTCCGTCTGTCATATGTTCTTGACCTCATGTTAATAGTTCAGCGACTGTTTAGAACTGTAAAGTTTTTGTCAATTACTATGAGTCATATGATACGTATATTAGGTATAAGGTATCCATTGAGAGGACTACATTGTTGTCATAGTTAAGTTTGTTTTTCAGATACTATAGGCAATATGTTAATAATATTTGGTGTATGGAATGATGTACAAGTCTGTCTAACAGGGTTCAATAACCTTGAACTTATTTTAATGATTCATTGGTCAATGTTAAAGTTTTCATGGTAAGGTCTGTTCCTCGTGTACTACTCGGATGATAAGCTAAATGTCAACGATATGTGGTTTATGGAATGACTGTATGGTGTGCATGTCTGTCTGACAGGTTCAACTGACCTTGACCTGATTTCAAGGTTCAAAGGTGAGAAGTATGTTTTCGTGGTTTAGTCTGCTTCTCAGATATCGTAAGCAATAGTTTAACTATTAAGTACATTTGGGTGTATGGAATGATTGTATGATATACCTATCCATCTGGTAGGGTTCATCTGACCTTGACCTCATTTGCATGGTTCATAGGTCAAAGGTGAAGTTTTCTTTGTTATGTCTGTTTCTCAGATTATAAGGCGTACATAATCGCAGGGTGCATCAGTTTTAAATCTCGTTTACATGGATCTTAGATAATGTTTCTTTCTATGTTCACAGCTACTTTTGCACATGTATTCATGATGTACGCCTGTTAAATGCATATGAAGTGGTTAAATTTTGAATTTCTAGAGCTAGGGTTTAATATAAAAGATTGGTATAGTCTCAATTAATGTGAAGATCGAAGGCATTATGGTAAAATAACATGAGTATTAGTATTTTGCAAACAAAGTGGTACAATACTTAAATTGCAAATATTTGTTTTAAATGATCAATTAAGGAAAAGATTCCCTGTTAAGTGGTAATTTGCGATAGACTTTAAAATTCAAGGTCCGAAACTAAGAGGCGTTATCCAAGAATGTCTTAGAGGGAGATTGGTCTGTGGAAATCTATTGTTAAAGTTTTTGTAATTAACACCACTGATCAGCGCCAATAGTTTTTAAATTCACTATAAGCAGATTACTGTGAAAGTAAGATGTGGTATGATCACCAATGAGACGTTCCACATTTAGCAATGAGCAAAATCATATAGTCAGCTATAATCATTTTTAAAAGTTAAAACTAATATTGTTAATATTAATCTTAATAAGCACTTAAAAAGGCAATTAAACCGTGTCCACTTTAACACGTGTTATTAAGTTTGGACGTCAACTTTATATAAGCTATGAATAAACACTTATATGATTTATATGCTGTTAGTATACGTTATATAGTATAAATGTCCGCCATGACTTTGAATCGTTTATGTGTGTTCTATATATTTGGATATTTGTATACAGTATCGCAAGCGCAAACGTTGCAAGATTCGAAAAATGTGCTCAATGATATAATGAATGGATATGAAAAATATCTTATTCCAAAGGAAAACATATCAACTCCTGTAAACGTCTTACTAGGGTTTTGTCTGTTTACTGTAAATGGTTTTAATGGTGTCGACGAAACTTTATCTTTGACTGGCGGGATTTCAATGAGGTGGAATGATGTCTCCTTACAATGGAACTCAGCAAATTATGGTGGTGTTACAAATCTTGTTTTGGACAACTCAAAAATATGGACACCTTATATTTTTCTTGTGAATACGCCAAATGAAATGAAACCTATCGGTTACGATACAAAAAACGTTCTATCTGTTTATAATTCTGGAATGGTGGCCTGGTTTCCCGGTGGCGTGTTGAAGGCAAAATGCACTACAGATTTTACAAAATTTCCGTTTGACACACAAGTCTGTACTCTGGAATTTCAACCATGGGGAACAGTAACTTCGGATATCACATTATCTCCGCTTTACAACTATGTAATAATGGATTACTTCTCACCAAACTCCGATTGGATAGTAAAAAGCCGTTCCTATGTGGAGGTGACTTCTATATACTCCCAAAAGTATAATGTTGAAATAACTTTAACACGACGTCCACTTTACTATGGTGTAATGTTAGTTGTACCGACCTTATCGTTCTGTATTCTGAATCCATTGGTGTTCGTGTTGCCGCCAGACTCAGGGGAGCGTATATCTTATGCAGTGACTATCCTATTATCGTATGCTATATTTTTGACAATTGCTTTGTCATCGCTCCCAACATCCTCTGACCCCTTGTGCACTCTCCTGCTTGTAATGATATTGATTATAGCGATCAGTGGTATGATAGTTATATTTGTAATCATATCAATGCGTTACTACCACAAAGAAACATTCAATCCGGGCAAGGTAGCTGCATGTCTGATAAGAGTTTCAAGGTGTACGAATAAAGTCCAAGATTCTATGATAGAATCTGAGAAAGACGACAAAATAGATTTAAAAAACAATATTTCAGGTAAAGAATATGCTCATCTCCTGGATCGATTTTTCATGACCCTTTCATACTCTCTACTCTGTATGTTCATTGTCCTATACATTTGTGTTGTTTTTATGTAAAAAAAAATGGGGGGGGGGGGAGGGTATTCGTAGTATAAGGAGTTTGTCAGTTTGAATTTACAACGCAATACAATGTTACTGAATATAAATAAAAGAAGATGTTTTTTTTGCAAAGCAGT